AACGAGCGGGTAGGTGAAATGAGGTCTTCCATCCTAACTTTAAGGTTCTAATTCCTACCTCAGATGACCTAGGATATGTTGTCGTCTGTGAAGGCTGTGCTAATATAGGCTCTGGTTAGCTAGTTCCTTAATGAAGGTTGTGTCTAAAGCAAGCGGACACTACGCAAAAATAGAATCTAAATGGACCTGCGTTGGACCAAATCTCTTATGCTAAATGCCTAGTACTTTAGCGAATAAGATACGTCGGGAGGATCCAGAAGGAGACCAAGGATGGAAAAATTGATCGTCACAGTGCCTCTAACATGAGTTTTCTCACCATTTATTTTGCCTAACAAGACAGGTGATGGCGTCAACGACGCTCCGGCCCTAAAGAAGGCCGAAATCGGTATCGCAATGGGAAGTGGAACTGCCGTGGCCAAGTCTGCTTCCGAAATGGTGTTGGCCGATGACAACTTCAGTACCATCGTCTCGGCAGTAGAAGAAGGTCGCGCTATCTACAGCAACATGAAACAGTTCATCCGGTACCTGATCTCATCAAACGTTGGAGAGGGTAAGTGTGACAAAAAACTTTGCGCCTTGTAACGCACTCCATAATTTTATTTATACTTGACGAAAAGGCTATACCTTTGGGTTGATGCAATTTGGACGAACAATACTGGAGTAGTTGTTGAAGGCATTATGTGATAGCGGTTGAACTTTTTTGACCTTTTTTAAATGTTACAAACATTATGTTATCACTCCGGGGTTCTGCAACCCAATGAGGAAGTCTCATTCAGGCACAGTTAATGAAATACTGTATCACGCCTCCATCCTGAAATTAGAGGAAAGTTGCGAGACTGGAGACGTAAACTATTTAAGAAATGGGTTGACCTTGTTTTCGCAACTTGATATTATTGTCAGGGTGACTTAGCTGAGCGAATCTTGTCCGAAGTCCTCTGCCATTGTAGGTATCATAATTCCCAGCATCAGACCGTTTCACCGGCATCGTAGTCAGCATAATCAGTGAGTGTTTCTATTCTCCGTACCAAGAATTGTCACTTTGTCTGGGAATATTAATACCGTTGTTTAATCAAAGATATGAATACCAAGATGGTGTGGCCCTCGATATGGTCGCAGTCTGCTTCTGATATAAGAATTTGGGTTGACCTCGTTTTCGCAACTTGGATTTATTATCAAAGAGACTTAATATAAAGAATCTCGTCTGAAGTTTTCTGATATAGTAGTAGTATTGCCAGGGAAAGTACTAAATACAGCCAGACAAAGAAGACAATTATTGGTGCGGAGAATGGCAAAATTCACTGATGATGCCGACTACGATGCCGGCGAAACGTCTGAGAATGTACCAAGTCTGCGGTTTAATGCTGGGAATTATGGTAATTGCTATGTCAGAGGACTTCGAACAAGGTGCGTTCTACTAAGTCACTCTGGCAACTAGAACAAATTGCAAAAACGAGGTCAAACCACATCTATAAATCGAAAAGAGACTGCGATTATACCGAGAGCCCCACCATCTTGGTCTTCATATATTCTAGTACGCTATTTATGATCATAGATATTAAGTCTATATTAAGGAAGGATCTAAGCAGAGTAGTCACTCCGGATGATTGACCAAAACTCCAGAATATGGCTAAGCAGAAGTCGCAGCGGGTCAGAGATTTTATTAATAAGCGGCATGACTAGAAAGTGCTTAGATATGTGATAATAAGACAGCGCAGGATTCCGCCAACCCAATAAAATTATAATGTTCCTGGATTAACGACATCCACTCCTCCCAAGAACGATGGGAATAAGTTAGTGAAATTATCTTCAATCAATCTTGATTCCGAAACGATGGATATGCAGAAGAAGAGGTTACATTTTTTACTCGGTAAAGAAGGGAATATTTTAGAAGATATCGTTATAGAAGTTATTAACATTTTGGAGAAATACACATCAACACCAAACGGGAGATGTAAATGAAAGTAATCCCAAGAATCCTGTCCTAATAGGGACCAAAGAAAGCGAGTGGAATGATGAAGATACATAGAAAATTACAAATAAGTGACCAAATAGTTCTTCAGGCGGATAGGAGAGGTGCGATAGTGAAATGGACAGGCCCCAGTAAACAGAGAAGCTGGAAAGTAGCCTAGGCGACCGGAACACTTATTAAATATTAAAAAGGATCCAACAATGAAGATCAACAGAATACTGAAGGAAATGTTAAAGGAAATACATAGCAACGGACAAATCGACAGATGAGTGATGAATTTTTTAATAAAAAGTGACGCAAGACCACCGAGAGCCTACGAACTACCGAGAAATACAAGGAAGGAAAACCACTAAGGTTAATACTCAAGAACAAGCATGAAGGGACACAACAACTAGCGAAATTCATATTCTTTAAGATTAAGAAAGTAGACGACAAAGTATTGAACACCGTAAAGAATTCATATGATTTTTCTCAAAGAATCCAAAATATTGGACTGGTATGGATGGAAATGTTTGTAAGTTTCGACGTACAATCCATGTACACAAACATCTCATGCAAGAAGGCGGTCACCACTCTGCTGGAGGCCTTGGAACGAGAGAAGGATATCTTGGAAATAGAGCAGATAAGGAAGGAGTAGTTAACACGACTAATCAACCTGACTGTAAGTACTACATATTTTACATTGAATGGCAGTATCTAGGAGCAAATATTTAGACTACCGATGGAATATCCACTTTCACATTTGGCAAATCTATGCATGGACAAATTGGAAATAGAATTCGAGTAGTCACCACTTTAACCAGGGGTGCTTATGCGATACTTGGATGACTACTTTGCACTTTGGTCACATGGTAAGGAACATAAAAATGAATTCCTCAATTTTATAAACCAATTTGATGGAAGAATTAAATTCACAATGGAGGTGGAGAAGGATGAGCGACTATCATTTCTGGGTATTGAAGTCATGCGCTGCAACGGGACACTCACGAGGAGACTATTTAAAACGAAATCACATGCGGGAATGATCCTAAATTGTAAGTCTTACCACAACTATAGACTGGAGATAATCAGAAGCGAGTTTTTTTAAGGATAGAGTTTAACAAACAAACTCGGATGTTGTAATGGGTACCCCGGAGGATTTCTAGATAGAAATATCGTGTTCATAAGGAACAGATTTCATTTTGGATATTATGAAAATAAACTTGGGAATCGAGAGGACGACAAAAAGTGAATATGCTTGCCCTCCTGGGAACTGAGCCAAAAATTGCCACCGTTGTTAAGAAAAAGGTGATTACAAAAGAAAAGGTAACACTTCACCAGCATGCCCGGGAAGGTTGACAAACTGGATTTCTCGGGAGTCTTTAGCATCAAATGCAGCAACTGTGAGCAGAAGTATATGGGTGAGACAGGAAGAAAAATCAGCCTTAGAATCAAGAAACATTAAAGACTCTACAGAAACATGGACAGTGCAAGATCCGAAATAGCCGAACACATCGCACGAACGGAACACAAAATCGAGTGGAAATCGACACAAAGACTGGCTGCATATGGCTGAAATACAAGAAAACGCAGGATACGAGAAGCTGTCGATATTCTGACTGAAAGAAACCTAATGAACAGGAGATTTGAAGAAGGCAAGATTAGGGAAAACTTTGCATACTGCCTAAGATAATTCAGAGAAGATCAGGGAGCAGCAATATCAGCAAAAGAAGACGACTGTTCAAAGATTATATATTTAATTTTAGCAAGAGCAATTACAAGGAGACCAAGGAGGAGCAATCGGAAACCAAGAGAAGATATTTAAAGTGAGCCTATTCAAATAAGTAGGATTAAACCGCAGCCTTGGATCATGACTCTCGGCACAGTGGGAGGAATGTGGAAACTAGTGGAAGTGTGAATATGCTTTAAATATGTTTAGATAAATAAGTAAGAAGTTGTGATATTAAAGGGGTGGTAGTAGGACATAGGATGGGTGAATGGCCCAGGACAGAAGAACAGATAGCACAATTGATACTGACGTATCT